CCCCCACCAGGAGCCAGTGAATCAGGTCTTTTTTTTTTTTAAAAAGAACCAGGAGTAGGGCCGGATGGGGCAGCTGTGTTGGAGGGCGGGGGGGACTGGGAGAGTGGGTGGGGGCCCTTATCCCTCTCCCAGAAAGAAAGCGCAGCTGCAGAAGTCCATTTCCAGGATTCCACCATGGAGTGTTGTTCTGATTCACTGGCTGTGCTGGCCCTAGGTCCTGTGGAAGTCTTGAGGCAGATTCTCCCCTGCAGTGAGGTTCTAAGTGCAGGGGAGCGTGGGGATAGGGCAGGGGAAGAGGAGGCAGGGAACTGGTTAAAATTCTTGTTGATGCTGAAGGCCAGTCTGAAGCTCCTCTGTCAGAAACTGGGGAAGCTTAGGGCTTGCTGTAACTTTACATGGATGCTCCAGCAGCCCAGCCAAGAGCTAAGACTCCCCAAAGCAGAGCTCTGTCCTGGCACCCTTCTTGAGGCAGGATGTCTTGGGGCCAGTTGGGGTAAGAGCAAGCTCTACCAGCTCAATCCTCCCTGGGCAAGTCACAGATAGAACCTGCATTTTCACACCCCTTCAGCAGCCCAAGGGACCGCGCCATAATCCACACGAGGCCCAGCTCTGCCTTGGGTACCTGGCTTCACAGGTCATGGCAGTGCATTCAACCCTAACTCTTCCCATGGCTCTCATGTAACTAAGTTTTGCAGCCTAAGGAACTTTTCTCATCTCATCTGGCTTCCTCCAACCCAGCTAGTTCTGCCTCCCATTGTGCTTCCAACCAGAGCCATCTGGAACTCCACCTACAGACAGCATGGTCCAGGGAACTGAGGAGCAGGCTGGCAGTAAGGATTCCTCTGCCAGTCCTGGCTCCAGCAGACTCAGCAGCAAGGACCAGCATGAGGACCTCAGTCTCAGTTTCTTAAGTAATGACACTGATTATCCCATGGTAGCCAACAAGAGAGCTGCAAAGTTTGATCAGCATCTGGACAGCAACTTTGAAGAGGCTTGACACACTGAATTAATTCAGATTAAGCTGGAGAGTGAATTTAAAGTGCAATAGCTACTCCTGAATAACCACATCTGTATACGTGTTTATTCTAGAACAAGACTGCCTTGGTCTGATTTTGCGTAACCTGCTTTTAATACAGATTTACCTGGAAAAAGGCCCTCTGTAACCAGGTGCATGGCTCAGGGACAGAAGTCCAGTTGTGGGGGGTTAATGAGCAATAGTCTACCTGCTCAGGGGCACACAGCCAGTTGACAGGGATGACTGCCTGGACACAGAGGAAGTTAAAGCTCCCAGGGAGGGGAGCTGAGGAGGCAGCACAAAGCCAGAGGTGCCTTCTCCAGGTCCATGGAAGGATGGCAGGTTTTGAGTTAACCCTTTGTTGTTTGCATTTTTGTTTTTATTAGTGATGTTGTTTGCTGTGGGGACAAGTTTGCTCCAAGGAAAATCAAAGTTCAGTGACAACCCACTACGTGTGGTGGAGAATGAGGGCATTTTAAAATCAGCATCAGCCATGGAGACCAAAACCCTGCTGAAATGGCTGGAGAGGCTGCAGCAGCAATGGCAGCAGCTGTTTCAACAGCTCCAACAACAACACTTCCAAAGAGAGCAGCAGCAGCAGGAGGAATTCCTGAAACTGCAATGGAGCAGTGCAACGAGATGGAGCGGCAAGATGGAGTTGCACCCCTGTGGGTGAGTCACTGGATTCCCCAAGGCTGGAGAGTGTAGTCCTCACCAATGTGGGACCTGCAGATGGCCCAGAGGCTTTCCTCACAACTTTTGAGCAGGTGACAGAGATCTATCAGTGGCCATGGGACACGTAGGCTGTGAGAGGGGGCCCTCTATTAACCAGGGAAGCACAGGCACCTTGCCAGGCCCTGGGACCAGATTCAGCCCAGGATTACAAGATACTTAAAGCAGCCATACTGGATTGGTTGGGTCTCAAAGAAGAGGACTATCTGCAAGTTTTGAAAAGAGACTTTGCACCCAAATGCATGGCCCTGTGCCATGATCCAGAAGCCAAAGGACTTGTGCATTTGCTGGCTAAATCTGAACTCTGGGTCAACTGGACAGATCATGGAACTAGTGACTTTAGAACAGTTCTGCACCAGCCTCCCACTAAAAGCCTGGAGGTGGGTGTACCACTACTAGGTGGCCAGCCTGGAGGAAGCCACATAGAAGACAGAGGACTTCATGGGGGTGGAGTTAGACTGCTGGGATCCTTGGGGAAGCTGGGGCTCCAGGGCAAACAGGCTGGGTTTCTAGGCAAGCCTCAAATAGGTGCTTTACCGCCATCTCCTCTGAGGCCCCAGGCAGGAGGAGAGCCCTTGAACAGGCCCACCAGAGAAGAAAGCCACCTGGGACATCCCTACAGCCCAAGCAAAGGAAGAGGGGCTTCAATGACATGCTTCCAATTTGAAAAGAAAGGCCACCAGATGGATTGTGGGTACTCCCATGCCTGTCTCGAAGGCAAAGTGAGAGAGCCCAGACACAAGAGGATATATGGTCCCTGTAAAAGTAAGGGATGTCCCCGTGGTCAGATGTTTGTACATGAGCAGTTTGAGTCCAACAAACATCCTGGTTAATGAATATGCATGTGCCACCTTCATTCATGGGAATAACTCACCCTACCCCATAATCCACCTAAACCTGACCATCAGGGGACAGGAAAGTCATATAACAGTGGTAGTAGAGCGAAATTGGGGCTCGGTGGTCAAGTTGATATAGCTGACCCAAAAAATTGTTAAAACCCAGGCTGACCCTAATCTCATGGAACCAGAACAAAGGGAGATATTTCCCTTTTTGGATCGTGAGCTTTTTGGACTTGACCCAAGTCAAACAGTGACAGCAATTCAGGCAGGAGGACCATATCAGCTGGAGGAAATGCTCAAGAAAAGGGGTCAAGGTTCAATATGATCTGAACTGCCCTCCAAAGGAAACAGAGGGTCAGGGAACCCCAGGCAATCATCGAGAGGGTGGACTAGATCAGGTGAGGGAAGGCCAAGATTTCATTTATGATCAAAGGAAGGATCCAGTTCATGCCCCTCTGTATGGATGGCTGGGACAGGCCAATGGGGCCATAGTGGATGCAAGTTTGGCAGCCCAGAACCTCCATTTTGAGTTGCAGGAGGACCGCCTGGTGAGGGTAACCAAAGACAAAGTCACAATGGTGTGGTGGTTCCAACTGTTAGTCCTGAAACAGTACTGTGGCCAGTTTCTGAAACTGGCACATGGTGCACCATGGAGTGGGGGAGGACCATTTGGGAGTGGAAAAGATCTAGGATAAAGTGCTGATAAGGTTTTGTTTGGCTTGGGGTATATCAGGAAATGAAAGGCTATTGTGCATCCTACCCTGAGTGCCAGCTGGTTGCCCCCTGGCTCGCTCATAAGAGCCCACTGGTGCCTGTCCCATTGGTCACCATACCCTTTGAATGGATCACCATTTTTATGGGCTTATAACAACAGGCCCCACCCCATGAATCTGGCTGAGAGGCCCTGCCCCTCCTCACTGATTGGTTAATAGGGCTGTCCATTGTGCAGCCCTGCCCCTAGTCACTGATTGGTAGAGGGGCAGGGCTGCATGACAGGCAGCCATCTCAGCCAGTCAGCAACGGACTGTGGTGGCCACCATCTTGGCTACTCCCCTTCACTCTGGCACCACCCCCCTCCCCCCCAGTGGGCTACATGGTCAGGCCACTGGCTCCCCACCAGGGAACCAGCATTTTATTTTTAATAAGATTTTTTTTGGCAGGTTTCATGGATGTTGCCCAATTTCACAAATAATGCCGCATTTCACAATTTCCATGAAATCTGCAAAATCACAAATTGAGTAGGTCCGTCTAGTAAGAACTTCAAGTATATCATCCCCAAATGGATGGCCTGGCTGAAAAGCTTAACTGAACACTGAAGGGTATGTTGAGGACATCTGTCTCAGAGGAGCTGCAAAATTGGGATCAGTTATTACCCTACTTGTTGTTCACCATATGAGAAGTTCCAGTCTTCCACAGGCTTTTTTGTCCTTTGAGTTACTGTGTAGAAGGCAGCCCTAGGGCATTTTAGACCTCCTGCAAGAGTCCTGGCAGGCCCAGAGGACAGATGCACAAAATGTAGTTCAATAGGTTTTGAAGCTTTGGGAAAGATTAGACCTGGTGAGGACCCTCACAAGGAACATCTCAAAGCAGCCCAACAGGAGCAGCAGCAATACAATAAAAATGCTTGGCTCTGGATCTACCAGCTAGGGGACCGAGTCCTACTATTGCTCCCCTCCTCCAAGAGTAAGTTACTGGTGAAGTGGCAAGGCTCTTTTGAGGTCCTGCAGAGGGTAGAACAGGTAAATTATGAAGTTTGTCTAGTAGGGAAACCGTGGGGTTCATAGGTATACCACATTAACCTGTTAAAGCCCTGGAAAGCCCAAGAGGCCTGTCTGGTCTCCAAGTGTTTGGTGGAAGCTGCCCTGGGGATTCTGGATTCCATCCCATTTCCAATAACTGGCCCAGGCTATTGACTTTGACCCTGACTCAACAGCCTGAAATCAAAAACTTCTTGGAAGAATTTAAAGAGGTGTTTACAGCAAGTCCAGGCTGGACTGAATTAATTGAACACAGGACACTTAAGAATTCCAGCATGACTGACAGAAATAGTAAAACAAGAAGTTAAGATGTTGGACTTGAGGTAATAGAATAATTGACCAGTGAGTGGAGTAGCCCAATTGTGTTGGTGTCAATGACCAACCCCACCATCCAGTTTTGCGTTGACTTCTACAAAGTCAATGCAGTTTCAAAATGTGACATATACCCAATGCTCAGAATAGATGAAATGGTGGAGGGAATAGGTAACACAAAGAGTGTGTGTGTGTGTGTGTGTGTGTGTGTGTGTGTAAAACCACCGGGACTTGACCAAAGGATATTGGCAAATTACTTTGGGTCTCAGGAAATCACAGCCTTTGCAACACCCTGGGGACTCTACCACTTCCAGACTTTATCTATTGGTCTACACGGGGCCCCAGTGACCTTCCAATATAATGGCCAAAGTACTCCACTCGCACTAGGTATATGAGGCTGTCTATCTGGATGACGTGGTAATATTTACCAACACATGGGTGGACCACCTCCAACAGGTGAAAGAAGTGTTGTAGTTGATACAAGAAGCTGGTCCCAACTAAATGTCACCTGGGGTACATGGGGACTAGATACCTGGGATATATTCTGGGCAATGGTAAAATCAGGCCCCTAGTCAACAAAGTAAAGCCCTTGGTGGAAGCACTAATACCAACAACCAAAAAGCAAGTGAAGCCACTTCTGGGTTTGGCAAGCTACTACTGGTGATTCATCCTACAACACTGGTCACCAACCAGTCAATCTCTATTGACTGGTCAATTGTGGAGCCTCTGACAGTCGATTTCAGTCTGTCAGAGGGAGCACCAGGATGTATGTGGCTGGGCTTAGCCACACCCCCTGCTGGCTGGGCTGGGTGAGTGGGGTCAGAGCCCGAGCGGCTTCTCTGTGAGGCAGGGCAGGGGCGGTGGATCCTGGGGTGCTCTTTACTTTAAAAAAAAGTGATTTTCACCATAAAAAGGTTGGAGACCTGTCCTACAATTTGCAGCTATCACAGCCCCAGTGACTGGCCTGCCATGGAAGGGAGCACTGAAAAGGATTCAGTGATCACCCAAATGTAAGACAGTGTTTGGGACAGTAAAACAGCTGCTATGCAGTACACCCGTCCTTAACATAAATATTCATATTGCAGACAGATGCCTCAGAGTAAGGCCTGGGGATGGTTCTCTCCTGAGAGACTGAGGATAGAGAGCACTCCATTCTGCATCTCAGCACAAAACTGCTTCCCTGGGAGCAGAAGTATACTGGCATAGAAAAGGAGCACCTAGCAATGAAGTGGGTGGTTGAGACCCTCTGCTACTATCTCCTAGAGACCCAGTTTCGTTGGGTCACTGACCATGCCCCCTTTAACATTGCTTAATGCCATGCAGGAGACCGCCCCCTGGTTGACAAGGTGGTACCTGTCCCTGAAGCCTTTTGATTTTACGACACATCACAGCCCTGTGTCGGCACACCCAAATACAAACTTCTTCTTCCAAGAGAGGGTGGGGATTGAAGAAAGGGAAGAGTGTATCCTGGGTTCAACTCTTGGAAGGGAGGATGTGCAGCTGGGAGTCCAGGTGCCAGGGGAAATAGCCTGCCTGGTCAGGGGCATGGGACCAGCTGACAGGGATGACTGCTTGGCCACAAAAGAAGTTAAAAGCTCCTAGGGAAGGGAGTTAAGGAGGGAAGACTGTGGTGCTGAGGGGACAGCATAAAGCTGGGGTTGCCCTCTCCAGGTCCAAGGAAGGACCGCGGGTTTTGGATTAATCCTTTGTTCGTTTGTTAATCAGGTTTGTTTGTTTTATTACTGATGTTGTGGGGACAAGTTTGCCCCAGGGAAAATAAAAGCTCAGGGACAATCTGCTACACCCTCGTTCTGGAATGAGCGTGTCCACCCATGCAGTTATTTAAGAACTACCATTCCTGAACAGTTATTTTTAAATAACTCCAGGTGTAGCCACCTTCAATACCAAGGGTCAAATTCTGCTCCCAGTTCCACCAGTGTCAAATTCGGAGCAATTCCACTGAGTTAACTGGAGACTCTTCATTAACACTAGCACAGATGAGAGCAGAATTTGGTTCTAAGTTTTAAATGCTGACTGAGAAAAAGCTGCTGTACAATTTGCACTGATGACTCATAGTGCATAGACTAAGAACCAGAATATCAACCAGGAGAGGGCAAAGCCAGAGTTTTCCAGATCATTTCTGAGAGACTTAGGGCTCCCACAGCCTCCGGGGCCACATGGTGCCTGCAGCTGCCACTGGAAGTAGTTGTTTGGAGGTGACTTACCAGCTGTAGCCCAGATACAGAGAAACACACAGTGGAACAGTAAGGTAAAATGTCCCCTTTTCAGGCCTACCCATAGTGTATCCTCCCTGAAATGTGAACTAGGACCTACACAGGAATTACAAGGAGCCATTGTTCACTGATGGAGCAGCATCAGCTTGGTGGGTCCCCAAATGAGCCAGATGTGCTTAGCCAGCAGGGTCTGCAGCACTGCCAGATATCTGTCACAGTTAGGCACTGCCTATAGCTCTCTTGCTCAGTCGCAGTTACCTCCACAGCAAATCCAGCACATGCAAGGAAGTGAGAGAGCAGGAGCCAAATGAGGCAGGGATGAGAAGCTCAAGCTACTTGAGCTAAGCTCCTGCCTGCTTCATTTCAGATGAGTGAGCCTCATGGAGCTACCACACTGGCATCCAGTGGAGTAGTAAGTAGGGATGGGCAAAGCCAGTATCACTACATCAGTGGTGCCCTGCATCACAGGCACAGAAACAGGGACTGGCACAACTTGCTGACCAATAAAGAGACATGGATTTGCAAATGGTCTCCAGAGTCCTGCTCCATAGGCTGGCAAGGTAAGCAATGGCATTGTACTGGTGGGAAGTGGGGAAAAAAGGAAGGATATGGCCAAGCTTTTGTTATCCTAAGCATGCCCTTGAGCAATACGCAAGGTGGAACCCTAGGTAGGACACTGTCACTACAGAAAAAGGAGGACATAGCTTTTGAGTGGTACAAAGTGATTTGGGGACCCAACACACAAAGTCCACAAGAGTCTTTCAGTGGATCTGGGAATGGATACTCAGTGATGATATCAGCACTTTACAGACAGACATTTGCCCAAGTTGCGATCCCTTTCCTCTGCCTCTGTGGACAGCAGGAGCAGTCAATTCCATGCCTTGAACTGGGAATGGGTTCACAGGGAATATCCCCAAAGTTAACCTCCCCCCCAGCGTGTCACAGTAGAAAGACAATAACGTTTCAACACTGTCAAATAAAATTGTTTGTCATTGAACCCACAATGAACTCACTCACTGCAACCAAACATATAACGCACTCTGCAATAGATATCTACACTTCCAAGATAAATAATTTTAAATTAATGTTAATTTTAAATTAACGAGCACCAAGCTACAATGCAGCCTGCTCAAGAGAGAGTTTTCTACTCTGATCCATAAGGTCTGAGCCCCTTTAGTTCAGTGGAAGAACTGACATGCCCTCCCCCTCCCCAGTTGACAGGGCAACCTAGAATTCGGCAGCGTGCATCACTGACCCCCAGTTCAGGATCAAATGTTGACCAAGAGAACCGTTCCAGTAAACTGTCCACATCCCAATCACCCTCTTCATTGGCAATCTTGGCAGGGAGGGCAAGGATTGCACAAGTTACGGAGACCGGCCTCCCCTCAAAGCCTGCAGGACAGCGCTAAGGCACATTGGGTAGGAGCAGGAGAGCAGGGACATCCAGTCCTGCTGCACATGTGGAGCTGGCTCTGAAGCTCAACCAAGAACTCTGATCTCCAGGGCCATTAATCTGGCTCTTCTCACCTGCAATATAAGCACTTGAGATGCAAACTGGAACAGCTGGATCACGAGTTAAAAAACAGAAAAATGCAGTATTTCCCCAAACTTCATACATGTCCAAGTTGTGGAGCAGAAGGCTCCACCCATCCTGGCCTCAGAGCAGAGCTACACCAGGTGCTAGCTCCTTGAAAAGCCCACAGTTCTTCCTCCAAACAAAGTGCTTGTGTATCCATCTGAAAGCTCTCTGGTTTAAGTTCTTACCAGCCATCATCCTATATAACAGGATGAAAACTCCTACTCTTCATCTTACTTCTGTCATTTGAAAATGATGTGATGCTTTCCAATCCTCTGGTTAACCACACTCTCCACCTTTTAGTTTAAACCTTTTTCAGTGAGCACTGTTCACTAGCTCTCCTGCACTGGAGAGAGGAAAAATGGACCCCAACATTTACCCAAAGATTTTCTCCTGGGTAACAGAACCACCCACAGCAAGTAGATGCTGGAATGGACACTCACACACCCACATGCTCCCGGTCCATGGACACGGATTTCCAATTCCCCAAACCCAGGAAGTTCTGCTCCAATTCAGTGTTTTGGTATCAATATTCACCGCAAAATACTGTAAGGCATCCTCCCTTCTCAAAATAATATTCACAATTGGTGCCATTTCAGGCTTCCCAAAGCCAGCCCCCAGACTGGGGTCAGGAAGCAAACTGGCACCCTTTGCCTCATTCAGACTCAAAGAGCAAACCAATCTGGTGAGAAGTTTAAAGTCCTTCATTCAAGCCCATCCTCTCCAAGGGAAATGCTGTAGGTGGTTAAATTAAAGAGCATGGTAGAACAGCTAAAGTTCTCTGTGAAGAGCTGGAGGCCAAAGTAGTCAGTGTAGCAGCAAGCCATGGGAATGGTCTATCCCATAGGAAGTGCCTCATTGTGCCATGCTGAAGGCCTAAAAGTCAGTGCTGGACTGGCCCCAACATGATTAATCCATCCCATGACAATGAAGACTTCAGAGGCCTCTACTTCGAAAGTCTTGACACAATGTAGATAAGAGTATCATTGCCCAAGGCAAGGAGGACTCAACAGCCCCAGGGACCAGCCCTTCCCCCTCTGCCCACCTTCTCCAGGGCCATCATTATCCCTAGCTACCAACACTGCCAAGAGCAAGGAGCATATTTGAGGCCAATATGCAAGAGCCAAAGGCTATGGTGGTGTCTCCAAGCCAATGGGTGTTGGGAGGCTCTCAGTGACAGGCAGCCATGGCAGACTCTAAACTGCCCGGACAATTTGCAGGTAATTCCAGTCCATGGTCCCATCAGAAGTAAGTGAGGTTCTTGACAACTCTCAGTTCAAGCATCTTCTTTATAGCTAATGCCTCATGAGAGACATTGTGCTCCGAAGCCTGTGAAATACAAAAAAGAAGACTGGTTTTCCATGCACCATAGTGAGGAGCATCCTTATAGAAACCTAGGTAGGTATGAAGGGCTGTGTGCCTGTTTCAGACTTTCCACTCATCTCAATCCTACTCTCATCATTCATGGTGCTCTGTTTTATTGAAGCTTTTAAAACTTTTTTAAATGCTTTAAAACATTTTAAAGAGTTTCCTACTAAGTACATACAACTGCAATAGTATTCAGGGAATCTGGAGAATAAGCCACTACACTACAGTTACCCCATTGGCAAAATAAATGAAAAAACCTGTGACTAAGGATCTGGGACACCAAGTTGATGCAAAAGGAAAATTATTGATATTGCTATTGGATCAACAGAAAAAACAATCAAGTGACTCTCCATTGAGAAGTCTGTTGTTTAAATCAGCAGCTGAACTGATTAACTTGATCTCTGGATTGGAGAAATCTTTGCTATGGTTCATGAGTTGATAAAAGCATGATAGTTTACCTGGAGCAATCCACTCTGCTGACAGGTATTAGTTCTGCTATGAAAGGGTTAAGCAGTAGGGCTGTGCAAAGCTTCAGATCATGATTTGGATTTGGAGACGATTCAGAGGTTGAATCTATGAATCCGAATTGAATCGCTGGAAGCGTTAGGCTTTCCAAATCAATTCAGAGCTTCTGAATTGTTTCGGAAAAGCTTTGGAGATTCGGCCATAGGGTATAATGGGGAATCAATGAAATATCTATAACTTTGTTGTCTTTTGGCTGATTCAAATGAAACTTGCAGGGATGGTAGCCCCTGCTGAGAGCATGACATGTGCCAAGTTTCAAGGAGATAGATGCAGGGGTTTCTGGGAAATTCCACCTCAAAGTCCTGAAAGCAGAACACATGTCACACACGTGTGTTAAGCCACAGTGGGGTCAAAACTGCAGGCATGGTAGCCCCTGCTGTGGCCAAAACCTGCCAAGTTTCAGGGAGATAGGTGCAGGGGTTTGGGGGAAAACTGTACCTCATGCTGCGGACAAGCAAAACTCGTGACATGGGTGACACTGTGTGTTAAGGCACAGCGGGGTGAAAGCTGCAGGCCTGCTAGCCCCTGCTGAGGCCACAAAGCCTGCCAGCTGTCAAGGAGATAGTTACAGGGGCTTCTGGGTTCTGGGGCCCTGCACCTCTAGCTGCTGACAGGCAAAACTCATGACATGGGGACTTGTGCAACTGTGTCTCAGGGCACCGGGGGGGCAAGGATTAACACCTACAAAACCACAGATTTAAGGAGAGGAAAGAATCAATACAGAGCTGGGAACTGCTTCTGCACCAAGACAGAGACAGTCAGTTACACAAGCACCCCTGGCACGAGTTTTGCCTGTCAGCAGCTATGGGTACAGGGCCCCAGAACCCCCTACACCAATCTCCTTAACAGCTGGCAGGTGTCATGGCCTTAGCAGGGGCCAGCATCCCTGCAGCTTTCACCCTGCTGCGCCTTAACACACAGTGTCACCCATGTCACGAGTTTTGCTTGTCCGCAGCTTGAGGTACAGTTTCCCCCAAACCCCTATCTCCCTGAAACTTAGCAGGCGTTGTGGCCACAGCAGGGGCTACCATCCCTGTAGTTTTCACCCCACTGTGGCTTAACACACACAACATGAGTTTTGCTTTCAAGAGTTTGGGGTGCAGTTTCCCCCACCCCTGCACCCATCTCCTTGAAGCTTGGTATATGTCATGCTCTCAGCAGGGGCTACCATCCCTGCAAGTTTCATCCAAATCAGCCAAAAGACAACAAAGTTATAGATGTTTCATTGACTCCCCATTATACTCTATGGCCAAATCTCCGAATCAGCTCCGAATCTTTCCGAAGCGATTCGGCCGAATCGAATCAGAAAAATTATTCGGATCTCTGAATCAAATCTGTAGCATCTGAATCGGCTGAGTCTGAATTGAATAGTTCCCTATTCGCACAGGCCTATTAAGCAGGTTTTGTGGGCTCCCCGGTGTTAGGGATTCATATCTAGGTGGAATAATTGAAGCAGGTCTCTGAAAACAAAAGCTCCATTGGTGGGGGCTGAAAAGGAGGAGCCCTAGGGACAACCCAGCCCAGCACAGGCAGAAGGCACCATTCATCTAGCCTGCAGGGCTAAAAGGATGAGAACCCCTTACTGTACTCAAAACCAAAAGGCAGGAGGTGAGTTTGGACCCTACACAGCATCTACACTGTGTTTGCAAAAAGATCACACAGGCTTTTTTCAAATTTGTTTTCATAATTTGCAGGTTACTGCAATATGCAGCAGCTCTGGAATCACTTATTTTGACAGCGCAGACAAGCCTGTGACACAGCAGAAGTCTCCATTAACAGCACAATACAGACATTCTGGCTGGCTGGCTCCATTTGGCAAGTTTGCCTTGATGACATTGCATCTCTGGGGCAGGAACCATCCTTCCTTACTTGCACTGCAGGAGTTCATTCATACCCAAAACCACCTTGTGCTATGCAAACAGGGAAGGAAAAGATGGCCCCTGCTCCAGAAGCTTAGGAGGTATTTCCTGTCTTACGGTGCCAGACGTATGGAGGCCCAGATGCCACGCTACTGTTCATAGTTATTACTGTAAATACAAATGATGGTAAGGGGAAATTCTTCATATACTAGGTATTCCCACTAGTTGTATGGAGAATGCTCCCAAATTTCAAGCTATGTCTATGGCAATGAAACAATATTCATGGACAATCACTGTATTGTGTACCACTGCTCACAAATGTCTCAAAGCTAGTCATAAATATGACCATGCGACTTCCCAGTGGTAACAAACATAGGGAGGTAAAATCTCTCATGCTATTACACAGGTGAAAATGTATCCAGGGTTACAGCCAATGAGCTGTTAGCAATAACGTTTTCCCCAGTGCTCTCTGGGAAGTCCAAAGATCCTCAGAGAGATGGTGCTACACAACTGCAAAGTAACAGGAGCAGCCCAGCACGGGTGGAAGGTAGTTCAGCAGCAGCAAGCAAAGGGGGATACAGGTAGTTACTTACAGCCATGGACTTTAATGTGATTTGCTCATAATAGTGTATGGTCTGTTTCTTATTGCCAGAATCGGGGTAGCCAAAGCCTGCAATATGTACTACGTCACAGAAGTGCAATGCCAAGGTGATAGCTAACAATCCCGTTGTTGGTTTCTGAGAGAGAGATAGAGAGACAAACAACATGACTCAATGACAAACATACATGCCGTGCTGTTTGGTGTAGTTTTCTCTCTCCTCCTCCCCCCAGCAACAGGTCGTGTGTGTAACATAGTGGCTGGCTCCAAGGACTCTCAATCTGTCACTAGTTAGTCCAAATAGTTTGGGCTTGGGATGCTGACATTACAAGATCCTAGGCCCACTGATACCAGGCTACTTTATGGTGCAGCAACACAATTCATCACATACACACCACTTAGGATGGCTGCTTCCCCACTAGGAAGCATCACATCTAGTAATGGGGTTGCCACCATTCCAGAACAGGGCTTTAAATGTTGTCTTGCAGCTTTCATCACCAGGCCCATGGAGCATACAACATTTTTGACTGCACAAGAGGGGAAACGCTATGCCACAAATTCCAAGATGCAGATGAACTTTCCAAAGAGCTCAGTGAGTTTTTCAGATAGGAGAATCTCCCCTGGTTGTGTGCCAGGTCCCTGCACAGACCAAGGCATTGAGAAAGTACAGATTAAGTACAGCTCTATGAACTTTACTGTTCATGCCTGCACAGCTTAAACTGCTCTAGAAACTTTAAGAAGTTACTTTGCCCCTTGCCTATAAAATTGCCATGTTCAGGATACTTTTCTCAGCTAAATGTAGTTTTTAAAAGACATGAGCCTTGGTAGAGAGACTAGAGAAAATGCATTCATGCACTTTGAAATTAGTATGACTGTCAACCAATAACAACCAATTGAAAGATCTGCCCCTCTGCTCGCTGCTTATCTCAGCCTTCAATTCCAGCACCACTTATTTGCTGAGAGCAGGATGCATGGAAGCAATGAAATGGCGCTGACAGAAATGTTCGGGTCATGTCCCCCTCTGGAGGCTCACACATGATTCATTTCCCTGCACTACTATCACCTACCACATTGGGGTCCAAGCCTTTTAACAAATGTGTCACAGATTAGCCCCGATACTCTGATTCCCTTCCCCTGCCCAATTTGCTGCTCTGCTTCCTGCTCTCTGTCAGCTCTGCTGCTCTTCTTCCTGCTTTATGGGCTGTGCTCCCTCCCTGATCTTCTGCTTTGCTTTCTGCTCCCTGCCCTATATGCTACAGTGCTACCTGTCCTCTCCTCAATCTCTTGCATGCCATATGCACATGCTGCCTGGGCCACTTGTGGCATTCATGCTACAGACTGACCACCCCTGCCCTAGCATTTTTATATTCAAAGCACTGTGTGGACGTTAACTAGCAGAGGTCGAGGCAAATTACTGACCTTTCCCATCCTAAATCAGCAAGGACAGCAGCTTTGGAAGCTATGTTTAAACAGCTTACAGCTTGGCCAACAAGTCAAAAAGGGGAACAACAGGGCCAGGAAAAAAGAGGCAGAACTGTCCAATGACACTAAGTCCCTTTTAGCAAGTTTTGTGTGTGAACACCCTGGGGTTTAAAATTTGAGCACAGCCAGTCTCCCTCATTCTCCTTCACCCGGCTATACTGGCTCCCTTACCTGCTTAACTTTCCGCAGTTGCTTCATTGGAAGATTAAGCAATTTAGCAGCAGTTATTTCCATAAAATAAGGGTTCAGAATTCGCACTTGCTCTGGATTTGCATCCCAGATTAAAGGCGGCTGTTTCCAAAACCCCTTCCGTACCTGAAAAATGAAAACAGGAAGGTTAGTCCCATTCTTTACACAGGAGTCCCAGGGCCTGAGCCTGGGAGGGTTAGCTGCAGTAGCCAAATGAAGCAGGTAAGATACCCAGCCTCGCCCACCCTCCTTATGGTACTCACTCGCTTCTTGTCATTGAGGATGGACTCCATCCAATGGAAATCCATGGGTTTAAATGGCACCAAGACCAGCAGTGTATCTGGATTGTTCTCCCTTTTGGGGTTGAAGTGTGCAGACTCTGGGTAAAACAAGCGCATGGTAGTCTTGGAGCCAACGTCCTGCTCATACCCATAAACTGGTGCATTGTTCAACCTTTTGGGGAGAGAGGGGACATGTGAGGCATCTCCCACTGCTTGAAGACCTGTCCCCTTGGCATCCTGCAAGCATTCCTAGGAAAGACCGCTTTGGGGGCTCTGATCACGCGTTCACTGTACTTTGACATGATGAATTTGCTTGGTTAGGGGACTTGGTCCAGTCTCAGGGTGTGAGACAGCATCCTCCTTGAGTGAACTCCCACATGAACAGAGGGTCACCACATACTTCCCCACCTTTCTTGCTCTGGGTGTAAGGTGCTCTTCTTTGATTTGCCTTACATAACATAACAACGGGCGTCTAATATGCATATTGAAAGATTTCAAAATAAACCCTCCCCTGTCCACCCTTCTCCCCCTCAGGAGATGGGATGAGAGCTTGCATACACGACAGGTATTGTTACATGCACTACTACAACAGTAAGTGTGGTTTAAGAACCTATACAGACAGAACAGTATGGAGGGCAACTGGCACTGATCAACAAAACACAAAAGGGATCATTGTCTTCAGTTGAGGTTAACCTTTGTAGTGCCATTAAAATCAGACAGTGACCATTTACACTGGCCTATGAGCTCTGGACACTGCTTTTCTCTCTGGTCTTGGCAGCACCAAACCCCCAAAAGCCCCACCCCAAAATGTCAGTTTTTGTCTTCACCACCCAGGCTGCATTTGTGTAGAGAGTCACAGATTTGAATTTCTGGAATAGGGAAGTCTGAAGTCCTTGGGGTTTGACCAAAGCCTGGGGAAGTGGACAGGAAAGCTCTTATGGATGTCAGCATGCTTTGGTTAGGTTCTTGGTCCCTGGCAAACATGGAGCAATGTCCATCGTTCAGCAACATGCCTCAATGATCCAAGAAGCCCTTGGCCAAGTCCAGGTGAAGAGCCAGAGGAGTCTCACTACTACTCAAGTATTTCTGAGGTGGGACTTTATGCTAGAGGAAGGGTTCAGACCTCTCTGGTCCGAAACAAACCCATTAATTTTGCAACACTTCTAAAAATAAGGCCAGGAGCACTGAACCGATTGCATCCTATTGGTTACTCACCACAGGGCAAAGCCACAAGCACAGAAAAATGACTTCACTGGGCAGGGGAGACACTAAGTAGAGCTGTAATGATGGGATCATAGGAAATGAATGACCAAGGCACTGAATGTCACTATTTCCCCCTGTAATGTCCTGCAATTGGAACAGCAGCATCATGACTAGTCCTGCTTATGGGTTCTGCCTCTGCTACTGTCTGCAGGCAACTTGAAAGAAAAGGAACAGACACAACGTTCCCCATAAGCTCAGTTCTGGTCTCTCAACAGTAAAACTAACATCGTTTTCTTCCTTCCCATGAATGTATCACTGGTTCCTGGAGTTTTTTTTCTGTCTGTGTGCAGATCTCTGGGACGTGCAGGATGTAGGGAAGATGAAGGCTTATTGTATGAAGGGCTACAAATACTCACATACCTGATCACAACATCGTATTTATTAATTGCTTCCCCCATGGAGCTGTTCTTGAGCCGGTGTCCATTCCCCACCACCACACACCTCCGGCACTTCATGCTACAAAAGGAAATTCATTTTGAACCACTGGCATCTCAAGGCAATTATCCTTTCCCTTTATATTTACCGGAATAGTTCTTTATAAGTTGTTAGGACAGAATAAAGCCTGAATCCCTTGGGGTCCATACAGAGCTGTCCTGCTTGCTGCTGTAGATCCAAGTTCTGGGTGAAGCCCCATGGCTTGGCTATGCAGACAGCAGGCTAATGGTCACAATCTGGGCCTCAACAGCTCTGAATCTTTAAGTACCATATTTTTACAAACTGGTTCAAAGGGAAATACAAGTTGAAAATTCCCACAACGATGAGGGAGCATTTATTAGGGGCATTTTTCCAAGGCAGATAGACACTGCCTCCAACCTCTAGAACTGAACAGAAGAAACTAATCCTTTGAATGCAGGACACCAAATGGCAACAGCTACCAGTCACTACCACATTGGCTAGATTCAAACTGGGGACCCAGAGTGCAGGCACATGTACAAGTCACTATGAGGGAAGTAGAGAGGGACTTTACCAGTGCTGTGATAATTGCCCATATGCAGAGTCTTACCTCACAGTAAGTGAAGGCAAAACCACAGTAGTTTACCCTTCAATGAGGGGGCTAAGTTACTGTGGGTTAGCTTTCATATACTGGGGAGAAGGGGGGATCCTAGCAGCAACTTATTGCACAGCATTTGGTGTGCAGTAAACTCTGCCTCCTTCTACCTTGCAGTAGTTTGTTCATATGCCTTCCAGGGACAAAGGACCCTCCCTGCCTGCACATCAGGCTGTCTCTGCCGCAGAGCCTGTGCTGCCAGAACTGTCACCTGGGCTATGCCGGCAGAGCCCTCTAGTGAAGGCACATTTGTAAAAGACGGGTTTTTGCTAACTTACAGAGATGCTGAGTTAACAAAAGCCCTCTTCTACCAGCACAGCAGCACCCATACCAGAGGTTTTGCTGGCATAGCTGCCAGACAGAGGGCACAATCTGCTCATACCACTAGCCGATAGAAGTATGCCAGGAAAGATCTGTAGCATAGACCAGACGTCTCTCAGTAACCGAAATGTGGGAAGCAGGTATAAGGAGCCCCCTACTTGAGTCATCAACAACCTGAACCGCCAACATTAAAAGCAAGTACCTTTACTGTGTGAGCTAAAGTAGCAAGTCCACTAAACCAGCGGGGTCCAATGTTTTGCAGGCATGCCACAAATTAGTCCTAAACTCCTCCTGAGTGTCACTCCAATCCCCTTTCCATGCCAGGTCTGCTGCTCTGCTTATTTCTCCCTGCCCTGTGCTCCCTGCCCAATCTGCTGCTTTGCTTTCTGCTCCCTGCCCTATCTGCCACTGTGCTGTCTTTATCCTCTGCAATCAGCTGTGTGCCACACACAGGCTACCTGTGTCACAGGTTGGCCACCACTGCACTAGATGGCCAAGATAGTAACCTCTTATCCTGTTACAGGGAGCAGGCACTAGAGGAAGAACAGAGACCTGCTTGTAGGCTGGGTCCAGCAGGAAAGACACTAGACTGAGGCCATTTGGCTTCTGTTCTCTGCTTGGCCATATCTTCTGTGATCCTGCTCATGCACTCATCCATTCAGGCTGGAAGGGGCCTCCAGAGGCCATCTAATCCAGTGGTCTACCCAAGCCAGGAGCTACCACACAGGTGGGTACAATGTCTAAAAAGAGTCCTAAGACTCATGCAGGCAACTGTACAGAAACACAGTGTCATCCTCCTTCCATATACCCTCCATACCCTTTGGGCAATAACAGAAGTTGGCAGGAGAAAATGAAGTGTGCAGCTCAGAGAAACCTGCCTGTACCAAATGCTAGGATGGGGGAAGGGAGCTGCATGTCAACCCTGGCTGCAATCCAGACCCAGTCAGTGAGTGAGATCCACAGGTCAGCATGGAAGCTGAGTGACTTAGCCAGCCTGATATTCTTCACATTTCAAAGCACTCAAGACTAATCCACATTCATGGTTGCCTTCAGATACCTGTGGAGCTCCCAGAGACAAACATCTAACCACCGTTTCCAGGGATCCCTTAAAAATAGATCTGGACTGGTTTAGCCAAGAGGCAAAGGCTAAAGTACCATGAGGTGGGTGAGAAGTACTCTGTAAGCACTGTTATCATATCAGGAATGAGCCCCTGACCACTCAACTTGATGGCCTTCCCAGGATTATCCCTTTTCCTGATGCCAGACTTGTCTTTTTGCTTCTGCCTAATGCACAGAAAGGGAAGAGAGCAGGCTCTGGCCCTACAGACATCTGCTGGCCATGGGAGTGCAGTAATGCCAACTGTAACAAACCATCGCAAGACTTCGGATTTCTAAATCAAAGTAACTCCTGATGGTTCGATTGGGAGACTGCCAAGATCTCCAGATTTTCCCAGTTAGTAAGCCTGTGGAGGTGAAGGGGAGGTGGAGAGATCGAGGACCCCACAGTGAAGGAGGGAGTAGGGCAGGAGCAGGGGCTGGGGCGAATGGGGCCCCGGTGCTGGGGAGGGTCGTCCAGAGGTGTGGGGAGGGAGGGGGGCAGTGGTGTGGCCCCCCTCAGCTGTGTGCACTGGGCTGGGGCTCTGCACTGCTGTCTTTGCCCCAGCAGCAACGCGACACCATTGCTGCCTGCCAGATGGGCAGGAGACACGGGGTATGCTGGCTGTGCGGTGTGTTCCCTGTCTGCCCAGCAGCAGGAGGCACACTGGCATCGTGTGGCTGAGCTCTCGGGAGAAAGGCAACAGGGCACAGAGCCCCAGCCCATAGTAGGTAACCCACCTCTGCCCCTGCAGGGGGCACATGCCCCCCATGCCTCCCCCAGGGGTCTGCACAACTGCAGGGGGCTGCATCCCCCCCCCCCATGCCTCTGGACAACCAGCCCCCACCCTGGGGCTCCATTCACCCCAGCCCACCCCCCCAAGCCTCTGGACAACCACCCCCCACCCTGGGGCTCCATTCACCCCAGCCCCTGCTCCTGCCCCACTCCCTCCTTCACTGTGGGGGCCCTCAATCTCCCTCCACCCCTTCTCTGTCCCCCCACCCCTCTATCTCCACTTACTGGCTGGGTGCTGTCAGTGTTTCTGTGTGTCTGCCCCTCACTCCCAAGCCACAGCCCCCCCCCAGCCCTGCTGCTTCCTCACTCCTCACCCACTGTACCCCACATCCTGCCAGGGTGTGCGGGGATCCTCCCTCTCAGGGCCCCAAACCCCCAACACACACCTACACACCTTCAGAAATAACCCCCCCCCCACACACACACACACACACACAGACTTCAAAAATAGTATTTCATAGTTTACATGCCAATCTCTTGATTTTTTAAGAGTTTGGCTTGAGATTTTTGGCACGGTGGAGTTGGCAATACTGGGTGTGACACTAGGACAAGTCTGGTTACATTCCCCAGCCCCTTAGTTTGCCAGATCTCCAGACCTCCCCCAGCTGCCATTTGGACCCATGCTGTAGACAGGTGGGGCTGGAGCTGGTCTGGGTTTGATCTGGGCTCTGCTCCTTATGCCAGCTACACTGGTCTTCACAGAAAACAAGACTGCTTGTTCTATACTTCTCATCCATGTCCTGCAACCCCTGTGCTTGCTCAGGCAAGCAGAGACCTCAAGAATGGGCACAGCACTTGGCAGTCACACAAGTCACGTCCCCACTGGCTATTACTCCAGGGAAATGGTTGACTGACACTTCAGCTCGTTACCCTTAGTCAAAAACAACAGTTCATTTTGTCCCAAGTTGGCGTGCAGTGATCTACTTCATATTAATGCCAACACACACACCCTGAGCACTGGCAGGGGTTGCAACACCATGACAACATGTCCTGAAAGAGGTCCAAGACACTATCCCAATGCTGGGCTGGGCTATAGCAGAGCTCTGCAAGGGCCTGGACCTAGAAAACCAGTGGGCTGGCAGGCAGGTGTGTGTCTCTGATATGCTTGGCTCTGCATAGCACCATTAAGTTCTTCTTACAACAAACAGGGAGGCCAGGCAATGTATTCAGCCCAATCCAGAGGCATAACCACATCTGGCATAGGAGCTAGCTCTACACTGGCTAGTACAGGTACTAATGATGGTGGAGTGGTTTACACTGCCCAATGAGAGTAGAGCTAGCTCAGGTGCATCTGCAGAAGCTGAAGCCTGGCCCCCAAACTGCAGAGTAGATGTGCATGTGAGCCCATGCCAAGGAGGACAGCAAAGACCAGGCAGCAGGGGAGAGGCCTGGGGACAGGGAGCCATGATGATGCTCCACATTTCACACAAGAGAAAGGTAAGAGAAGAGGGGCAAGCAGGACACAAGGATCAACAAGAGATCAACTGGAGGCATTGAGGTATATCCCACTACCTTCAGCACTGACCCCCCCACTCCAACACTTAGGGTCTCTCATACAGGCACCTTGTAGAAATTCAGAATTAGTCTCAGGGCCCTTCCTCCTACCTCTGCATCCCTGTTTTCTGAGCACTGGTGGAGAAAAAACTCTAAAGGGCCTGGGGTCCCATCTCCTGGTACCTGCTCTTCCTCATCCTCAAGGACAGTTGCCAGGAAGAACTTTTTTGAAATGCACAAAGGAGACATCAGAGCCCAGCAACTGCAGGGTCACATCCTTCTGCAGGGACAGGGGCAGGTGGTTCAGTACCTCAGAGCCAGATTCTCAACTTCCTTCCTACTAGTATCAGCCTTTGGTGCACTGTAGCCAGAGCAAAGGGGAGCAACAAACCCCAAATTGGTCTCCAATCCCAGTTACCATCCCCTCTGGAACCAGGAGCCTGACCTAGACCTCAATGACAACTGACCTCACTTGATCCAGCATCAAGGAGGACAGATACACCCAGACAGTAGCCACCCCTGCCTAGGAGACCTAGAGTCATCTCACAAGCTCTCAGAAGCTCTGCACTTAAGTCATCTCCTCAAGAGGAGGACTCTTCTTCTCATGCCACTCTGCAGTTGGGGGTCCTGAGCAGTTCATTCCCTGTAAGCTCAATGCGCTCTGCCTCCCCAGCCCTTTTGCATGTTGCCTAGCACGTGAGTGAGATTAGGCACCTATGGCACCTGGACCACCCTGCAGAGCACTAACAGGACATGCCTTGCTTTTAATGATCTGCTAATTTTTTTGAACATTTGCTTCCCTCATCTGGTGTGAGCTGTCAAGCCAGCTCCAGACACCATAGCAATAGGAGCCTTAGAGACATATCATAAATAATTAAGTCCCCATTTTGTGTGCTGTGAGGCCCAGCAGTTACTACTCATTACACCCAGACCTTTGAGGGAAGACTGTCTCCTAGTTATACCAATGTTGACATCAAGGTGCCAGCCAGCATCAGCTCCCCCCTGCAGAAGCCAGAGGCACCCACCAAACAGGTATTTGTTCTCCCTGACTAGGAGACAAACTCCATGTCTCCACATATTGATCCAAAGGTTGGATAAAGGATTTTAACCACATTCAGGCAAGGGATAGAAAAGGCAATTGTGAGGCACCCCAGCTAGTGGAAATGGTCTTCAGCCTCCTGGCAACTAGGGAAAG